CAGTCTATTAAATTAATGTACCTCAATTTCCCAAAACAATGGGCTTCTATTTTGTTTCCAGTTCTTTGATACCACAGAAAGTACTGCTATAAATATTTTGGTATATATAGAGCCTTCTTTTTCTCAGATACCTTTTTTTTTTGTATATACTTAGCTGTGTACTGCCTGGGTCAGAAAGTATGGACATTTTAGCCACTTTTTTTTTTTTGCATAATTCCACATTCCTTTCCAAAGTATTATATGAAGTCATAGTTCCACCAACAATGCATTTCTACAGCCCCTTCAACGCTGTTTATTTTCATCTTTCGTCATCTTTGACTGTTTTCTGAATGTGAGATCCAATCTAAGGGTTGTTTTGACTTGCCTTTCTTTTATTAGTACTTTGGAGCATTCATTCATAGTGTTAATAGTTTGTAATTCTCCTTTTAAGAACTGTTTTTATGCTCTTTGACTATTATTGTGGAATCGTTTTTGAATTCAGTTATATTTTAAGTTGGTTATTAAAGTTGTCTCTGCACTTTTGTAGGCATTATTCCTACTCCTATTCTTACTCTTACTCCTACCTAACTAGATAGCATTTATATAGCATCTTTTATATGTCAGGCACTGTGCTAAGTGCTTTACAAACATTATCTCACTTGCACCTCACAACAACCTTGAGAGGAAGTTGCTGTCATTATCCTCATTTTACAGGTGAGGAAACTGAGGCAAAGATTAAATGACTTGCCCAGAGACACACAGCTACTAAGTGTGTGAGGCTGGATTTGAATTCAGGTCTTCTTGACTTCAGGCCTGGCATTCTATCCACTATGCCACCTCTAATATGGTCTTATACTATAAGTAATATTATATAGTCTTCTCTATGAACTCATGGTATTTCAGTTTCCTGGGTGTTTATAATGTCTCTGAAAAATATCAAGTAATTGCCTTGATTTTCCTGTGTTTGCTATCTTTTGAGAATAGATGTTAATTTAAGTACTACTGATCTTGAAAATGGATAACTTCATATTTAAAATGGTTCCTTATCATTTGGTTAATGCATTTAATTAAATACAATTGAATAAGGCTTTTTGGCATGGATTGAAATGTTACATTTCTAGTACAATAGATCTAGACTAGGACAGCTAGGTGGTGCAGTGGATAGAGCCCATGGTCTAGAGTCAGGGAGACCTGAGTTCAAATCTGGTCACAGATACTAGCTATGTGACCCTGGACAAAGTCACTTAACCCTGTTGTCCTCAGTTTCCTCATATATAAAATGAGCTGAAGAAGGAAACGGCAAACCACTCCATATCTATGCCAAGAAAACCCCAAATGGGGTCACAAAGAATTTGACATGACTGGACAGTGGAATAGATCTAGACTAGAAGGGACCTCAGTAGTCCACTAGTCTAATTTCTAAATTTACAAATGGGGAAACTAAAGCCTAGAGAGATTATATGGCTTCCCCAACATCAGAGAAATGTTAAGGGACTTGAATTATGGCCTGTGGTTCTAAATTCACAAATCTTTGCATTTTAGAGGAAATTTAATTCAAAATAACAAATCTGTGCATTACACTTAACTTGTAGTCTTTCCATATAATATCATAGGATCATAGATTCAGAGTTGAAGGGAACCTGAGAGACCATCTAATCCAATCTTCTAATTTTATAGTTGAAGAGAATGAGGCTCTGAGAAGTGAAGTGATTTGTTAAGGGTCACACAAGTAGCAAGTATCCAAGACAGGACTCAACCCATGTCTTCTTGACTCCATTACTGATGTTCATGTGTTCCTGAGGAATGACTCCTTGAGGGGGAGTAGGAGAAGGGATTCAGGGGGAAATATAAGCAATTAAAAAACAAAATATATCCATAAATGGGAGAACTTAGCAGAATGGATTAGAAAACAAAAATCTAACTATATACTGTTTATAAGAAACACGCTTAAAGCATAAAAACCCACATAGTTAAGATAAGGAGTTGGAGTAAAAAAAAAAAAGAAGGGGTAGCAATTATGATTTCCAACAAGAAAACAGCAAATGTAGACTTCACTAAAAGAGATAGAGAAATGACATTTTATATCAGGAATGTAGGGTTGGTTTAGGATTAGGAAAACTATAAACTTAATTAACTACTTAATATCAAATGAAACAAAAATCATGTAATTATATGAATAGATACAGAAAAGGCTTTTTGACAAATATAACACAAAATTTTTTTTAAAATAAAGAACATAAGAATAAGTGGATCTTTCCCTACACCTAAATCTAAGATCTGCCATTTTTTGTAATGAAGATAAACTAGAATACTTTCAGATAAATTCCAGGGTAAAACAGGAATATATGTTGTCAAAATTCTATTTGATATAGTACTAGAATTCTGACTAACATTAAGATAAGGAAAAGAAATTGAGGAAATAACCATAGATTTAAACAAATCACACAAAGAACCCAAATGAGTCCACTAAAATTAATTGAAGCAATTAATAGTTTCAGCAAATGTACAAGATGTAAATTAAACACAAATTATCATCATTTCTATAATGATCTGTCAAACTCAGCAGAAAGAGTGTATAAAATACTTGCAAGTCTACCTTCCAAGATACACACAGGAACTATATAAATGCAACTGCAAAGAGTTGTTGTAGAAATAAATATATATCTAAATAATTGGAAAATAATTGCCCATGGATTGGATGAGCCATAAAATAGTAAAATAGCAATAATCCATAAATTAATATACTTATTCAGTACTATACCAAACTACAATAAGTGACTTTATAGAACTAAAAAAAAATTCATATGGAGAAAAGAAGGTGGAAAATCTTAAGAGAAATAATGAAAAGAAATAGGAATGAAGGAGACTTGGTCGTGCCAGATCTCAAATGATGTTACAAAGCAGTAATTATTAAGTATTTGTTAAAAAATAAGGAGAATGATCAATGGAACACACATGTGCACAACATCCAAAAACAAATGTATGCAATGCCCTGGTATTTGATAAATAGAAACATGCAGCTACTGGGATGAGGACTATTTGACAAAAGTTGGTATAAAAATTGTACAGCAGTATGGAATAAATTAGCTTTAGACCACAACCTCACAACTTATACTAAGATAAACTCCAAATGGATATGTGACCTAGATATAAAAGATCTGAGGAAATAAGGAAAAAGTTACTTATCAATTCAGTGGATAAGAGAAAAGTTCATGATCAAACAAAACAGAGAGGATTACAGAAAATAAAATGGATAATTGTGATTAAATAAAATTAAGATATCTTTGTACAGACAAATGTAATAAATATAAATTTACAATGAAAGCAACTGCGACAAATAATTGCCACAAAATTTTCTGCTGAAGATCTTATTTCCAGGATGTATAAAGAACTAATTCAAACTTATAAGAAAAAGAGCTATTCCCTAGTTGATAAATGGTCTGAGGTTATGAAGGGCAGTTCTTAAGGGAAGAAACCTTGGCTATTTATAGTCATAAGGAAAAGTGATCCAAATCACCACTAGTTAAAGAGATACAAGTTATAAGATTCTACCTTTTACCCATAGGAAGGCAAAAGATGACAAAAAATAAAAATTATGAATTTTGGAGGGGCTGTGGTAAAACAGGCACATTAATATACTTTTATCGGGCCTATGAATGGGCACAATCATTCTGGAAAGCAATTTGGAATTATATATAAAAAGTTGCCAAACAGTATGTATTCTCTGACCCAGTTATGTACTCCATAAGTCTGTTAAGTATAAAAACATTTATAGCTTCTCTTTTTGTAGTGACAAAAAAAAGGGACACTAAGGGAATGTTCATCAATTGAGGAATGGCTGAAAAAGTTGTAGTATATAAATATGATGGAGTGCTATTGTGCTAGAAGAAATGAGGAAGTAAATGATTTTAAGAAGACATAGAAGGATATATGAGAGTATGTAGAGTGAAGTAAGTAGAATCAGAAGAATAATTTATATTGTAACATCAATATTATAAAAATGAACAATTTTGAGGACTTTTATAAATTGAAGAAAAATGAAATGATCAGAACTAGGAGAATAATGTATTCAATAATAATAATGCTGTAAAAATACAACTTTGAAAGCTGTAAGAACTATGATCAATACAAGACCATTCATAATTCCAAAGAGCTGATGCTGAAACATGCTGTCTATTACAGAGAAGTGATAAATTTACAATGCAGAATGAGACATATATTTTGGTATACAGCAACTGAGTAAATTTGTTTTGCTTGACTATGCATATTTGTTATAATAAGTGTGTTTTTCTTTTTTTCCAGTGGGATGGGAGTTGAGAGGGAGAAAAAATGAATTTGTTATTTGTTTGTAAAAATAGATAGAGGGGAATATATTTTTTGAAAACAATTTTCATATAATAGGACATATGCTTAGTTGGAAATGAGTTATCTCTATAGACAAAGAGATATTTCCAAACAAATATTAAATTATTATTAGAAATACTTGCAGAGGTAGAATGTCTGGCTCAGGGCCCTGACCAACCTGGACTTCCAATCAGAAGTTCCAACTATGCATACCTTGTTCTGTTATAGCACTTAAATCCATTTGACCAATATAATGCAGAAGAAATGTTTGCCCTCTAGTTATTGGTTTCTTTCCATGTCATAGATATTCAGAATCATCATTATTCTTATCTTTCAGATTACATTATTTCTGGGAACTCATTAATCATATCCTTGTTTTTCAAAAAAAAAAACAAAATTCTGCATAATAATTGTAAACAAATGAAAAGGAATTGAAATAACTGTCAGCATTCTAAGTCTAGGGATGTTTGTTTTGAATCATGAATTAATTTCTGTCATGGAAATGTATGTGAGTAGATCTTTCTCAGAAGAATAAATTGTATTTTAACAATTAAAGCCATATAAAATTGATAAATGTAGTCAATTATCATTGTCAAAGCTGTCACAAAGATTTGGGATTCTGTCATCTGTATTACTAAGATAAGAACTGACATTCTATTGTGTATCTTTTTTCACAGGACCTGTTATTCAGTGTGTGTGCTCTCAACATCATTTCTACCATTGTTTGTGCTTTGGCTACAGCTATGTGCTGTATGCAGATGGTTTCTTCTGATGTGTTACAAATGGTGAGTATATTTTAATGACATACATCCCTACATGGACACACATATAGCTATCTAAATGAAATAAAATTTGAAAAAAAAAAACTAAACATCTTTTTTTCTCCAGAGAAGGTATTAATAGAAATAATAGAATTTCCCCCATTTCCAACTAGCTTAAAGTTAGTCTAGAGTTGAGAATTTCTATCTTCTAACAAATGAAAAAAGATAGGACATGGGTATTAGGAATTTCTACAGCCTTGTAATAATAATTCTCAATACTGAGAATTGCTAAATATGGAAGCATATTTACTTGTTAGATGATCATTAATGGGAATTTTCATTTCATTTATTTTGTGAATCATTGGAATTCCATCTAATTACAGACACCTAACAGTGTTATTTATTTCAGTCATGATGCCACATTAGATGGACCATAAATGATTGATTAACCAATTTTCAATGGTTCTCCTACTAAATAGTTAAGGTATGGTATCTGGTAGGACATCCACACTCCCCTTCTTTCTCTATAGGATGGCTCAGTTACCCTAACCAGCCCTTATAATGGCAAGTCTGGGGACAGAAGGGTAGTTCCCAGAAAACAATTAGCCATGGTCAAGACCATGCTACTATTTCTCAACTCTCAGGGTTCTTGAAGTAACCATGTTGGGGGAGCGGGATGCAGACAGTTCTATAACTTATTATTGTACTTCCTGAAAACTCCACTAGTGTGTTTCTTATTTATACAAAATCAGTCACAATAAAATCATTAACTCTTGGACACAGAACATTTACTAAATAAGAATACAGAACCAAAAATAGTCTTATGTTTATTCAATACAGAGCAAAACAGAAATAGTTAAACCATCACAGTCTGTTCCTAAACTAGTGCCATTTTCTCGCACTCGTGCACATAGTGTCCTTGGGGAGAAAGTTGGCATGTACAGAAAAACATAGTAATAAAGTACGCTAAAAAAAAAAAAAGAAAGAAAAAAAGAAAAAAGCAAAAAACAAAACAAACAAACAAACAAAAAAACATGTCCCTGGGAAAACTCATGACTCAAATGTCTGCAGGCTTTAATATCTCTAGTTTCTTTATGGAGCACACTATACCATATGTCACCTGCTGGTCAAAGCTGCTTCCCTGCTATTTCTGGCCTCTGAGACATTGTCAAGCTCTTTTAGCACATAGCCAGACTTGGCAGGGTGCTGAGAAAATGTTAAGCATTTTTTGAAAAGCCGTACAATATTAGTGAAGCTTACAACAAAATAGCCACAAAGTTTATCTTTTTCCTTTGCCTTCTCTTCTCTGAATGTGGGGACAGCAATAAAGAGCAACACAGGTATTCTGTGGGTATTTTGCCTCTTTCAGGCTGTAGATGGCAATGCAGACAAATCTAACCAGATAAGCTGCAGGAGGATTCTCCCTTCCTCAAGCAGCTTTCAGGGGCTATAGATCTCTGCTCCAGTGAGGACTTTAGCTGCAGTCCACCTGCCTGAGTTCTCATGTATCTCAGTTTACTCAGTCTGAAGCAGCTCCTCTCATCTTCTGATTCCCCACTATTTTGTTCAGATGAAGTAGCAAGAGAAAATTTCCACCACCAACTTCTCTCTTTAAGTTGCTGTTTCTTATTCTTTTGATCTCTAATTTCTCATCTTCTGTCTTCCTTTGGTCATCTCTGACTTTTAGTGCCTGGTATTAGAGGCTTTTGTGAGTCAGTGACCTACATTTCTAAATCCGTTTGAAAAACCCAGAGTCTACAATTCTGTCAGGTATGACACAGACAGAAAATATGTAAATTTTTACTCACTGCTCGAAAAGCTATATCCTTCAAAACCTAAAAGCAGTCATATGTAAATGAACCAGTGGACAACAATGCCTTGCAGATGTTACCACATTCATTAGAGACTTTTTTTCTCTGAGAGGGATTATTCTCAACTTGGTCCTTTCAGAACAATCCATGTCTCTCCTCAAGCATTTTTTTATCTGATGGGCTATGTTTCTTCTCCAGTTTTTATCAGTGCTTCACAAACAATTTTTTTATGTCTCTTTCAGCAACCAAATTAACATAACAAAGGGGAAGTACTTTAAATAAGCATGTAGCTATTACCTCACTGGAATAGACTAGAACCCTAGGAAAGCTCATTCTTTGGGTTATAGAATTCTCTCCTACCAAAAAAAAAAATCTAATACTTTTTTTGAAGAAAATGAATTTTATCTGGTGAGTATAGCCAGTATTAGCCAATATTCTTTTTTTTTCACTTAATCTGAATTTTATTTTGTGTTTTGACTTACAAAATTATGGACATTGTATATCTTTTTTTCTTCCTATAAATTTTCAAGGATCTCTCATAGTGCTTCATCAATTACATCCACCAAGAATTTAAGGACCCTTTGTCCAGCTCTATTGATCTAAACTTATTTTTTTAATATAAATTTATTTATTTTCAGTTTTCAATATTTACTTCCACAAGATTTTGAGTTCCAGATTTTCACCCCATCTCACCCTCCCCCACCCCAAGATGGCATGCATTCTGAATATCCCTTCCCCTAGTCTGTCCTCTCTTCTATCTCTTCCCCCCTTCTCTTATCCCCTTCCCCTTCTATTTTCCTGTAGGGCAGGACAGACTTCTGTACCCCATTTCCTGTATTTCTTATTTCCCAGTTGCATGTGAAAACTTTTTTTAAACATATGTTTTTAAAACTTTAGGTTTCAAATTCTTTCCCTTCCTCCCTCCCACCACCCTCATTGAAAAGGCAAGCAACTCAATATAGGTTATACATGTGCAGTTATGCAAAACACTTCCATAGTAGACATGTTGTGAAAAACTAACTCTATTTCCCTTAATCCTATCCTGCCCTCCCATTTATTCTATTCTTTCTTTTGACCCTGTCCCTCCTCAGAAGTATTTGCTTCTGATTACCCCCTTTCCCAATCTGCCCTCTCTCTATCATCCCCCTGCTCTCTTGTCCCCTTCTCCCCCTATTTTCCTGTAGGGTAAGACAGATTTCCATACCCAATTGGATGTGTATGTTATTCCCTCCTTAAGCCAAATCCTATGAGAATAAGATTCACTCATTCCCTCTCACCTTCCCCATTTCCCCTCCACTGTAAGACTTTTCTTTTCTTTTTTTTTGTGAGATAATTTACCCCATTCTACCTCTCCCTTTCTTCTTCTCCATATATAATCCTCTCTCATCCCTTAATTTTATTCTCCAGATATGACCCCTTAATCTTCAACTCACCCTGTGCCCTCTATCTATCTATCTATCTATCTATCTATCTATCTATCTATCTATCTATCTATCTATCTACCTATACATACATATAATTTTTTCCCTCCAACTACCCTAATACTGACAAAGGTCTCATGAGTTATAAATATCATCTTTCCATGCAGGAATGTAAACAGTTCAACCTTAATAAGTCTCTTATGATTTCTCTTTCCTGTTTACCTCTTCATGTTCCACTTGAGTCTTGTATTTGAAAGTCAAATTTTCTATTCAGCTCTGGTCTTTTCATCAAGAATGCTTGAAAGTCCTCTATTTCACTGAATGACCATTTTTTCCCCTGAAGGATTATACTCAGTTTTGCTGGGTAGGTGATTCTTGGTTGTAATCCTATCTCCTTTGCCCTCCGGAATATTATATTCCATGCCCTGTGGTCCTTTAATGTAGAAGCTGCTAAATCTTGTGTTATCCTGATTGTGTTTCCACAGTACTTGAATTGTTTCTTTCTGGCAGCTTGTAATATTTTCTCCTTGACCTGGGAACTCTGGAATTTGGCTACAATATTCCTAGGAGTTTTCCTTTGGGGATCTCTTTCAGGAGGAGATCTGTGGATTCTTTCAATTTCTATTTTGCCCTCTGGTTCTAATATATCGGCAGTTTTCCTTGATAATTTCTTGAAAGATGATGTCTAGGCTCTTTTTTTGATCATGGCTTTCAGATAGTCCAATAATTTTTAAATTCTCTCTCCTGGATCTATTTTCCAGGTCAGTTGTTTTTCCAGTGAGATATTTCACATTTTTTCTATTTTTCATTCTTTTGGATTTGTTTTACAGTGTCTTGATTTCTCATAAAGTCACTAGCTCCAATTGCTCTATTCTAATTTTTAAGGAAGTATTTTCTTCAGTAATCTTTTGGACTTCCTTTTCCATTTGGCCAATTTTTCTTTTTAGGGAATTCTTCTCCTCATTGGCTTTTTGGACCTCTTTTGCCATTTGGGTGTTATTTTCTTCAGTATTTTTTGGGGTCTCCTTTAGCAAGCTGTTGACTTGTTTTTCATGGTTTTCTTGCATCACTCTCATTTCTCTTCCCAGTTTTTCCTCTACTTCCCTTACTTGCTTCTCAGAATCCCTTTTGAGCTCTTCCAAGGCCTTGGACTGATTCATATTTTTCTTGGAGGCTTTGGATGTAGGAGCTCTGACTTTGTTGTCTTCTTCTGGTTGTATATTTTGATCTTCTTTTTCACCAAAGTAAGATAATATAGTCTGACTCTTTTTGTGCTGCTTGCTCGTGATCCCGGCCAATTACTTGAGTTTTAAACCCTTTGTTAAGGTAAGAGTCTGCTTCCAATGTGGAGAATGTACTGTCCCAAGCTTCGGGGGTTTATACAGCTGTTTTCAGAGATACTTGTAGGGACCTGTAAATTTTCAGTTCTTGCAAGGTGGTATGATAAGGGGTGAGGTGTTTACTCCTTTCCTGGCCTGTGCTGTGGTCTGTTAGTGACTTTCCAGGACTTCCTGTCCTGGAACTGTGGAGAAGATTTCCACAGCCACTATAAGCTCCACCGTACCAGCGCTCCTTCTCACCCCAGGACCCCCGGCCAGAACTGTGACCTAGATCCAAGCACAGGCAAAGCAAGAGATTCCTGCCTCAGCACCAGCAGAGAGATGCCTGCAATCCCCCTCTGATCAGCCACTCCATTCCCCCTCAATCTGTGGGCCGTAAGATTGGGAAGCAGCTGCCCACCCCAGGGCCGCTTTCTCGGGGAACTGGATCTGAGACCCCGCCTTACTCTCTC